TATACATTAAAAAATAAATGTATTTTTCATCATCATATACTGTGTTTTTGTTGCTCGATTGAATTTTATTATTTCTTCAAGGTTCTTCACATATATACACCTTAAGAGATATCAAGTAGGCGTAGCATGTTCTCAAAAAAGTAGGTTTGGTACGCAGAAGAATTTTGAGTCAGAGATTTTGCTGGTTTTGGCCTGAACTCACAAAAAGGTTGCCCACCCCTGCCCTAGGGAAAGGTGCAAATAGTATGGTCAGGAATACGACTGTTTTCATGTGCCTACTTACCTTGCAGGGTAAGTTGAAGGGTGTACCTGGCCCAGTGTCCACATAAAATGCGGAGTACTCGCCCTCCTCCCCTCCCTACATGTCCCGAATGATTTTGTAAATTCCCCATGGAGTAGAGACCATGTCTGATGCATCTCTGTACCTCATAGGATCTGGCACGGTGCTGGGCACATAGCAGGCACCTCACAACGACTATGTAGGTGAGAGAGTCAGCCTCGGGCCAGAACCAAGACTCACAGGTGCTTGATAAAAACATATTCCAGAGCCCCTAAGCTCTAGATCTTCAGAACCCAAATCTCCAGAAGAGGGGCCAGGGACTCTATTTTTACCTGGTTCCCCAAGGTGCTCTAGATGGTAGGTTGGAGAAAGATGGGGTTAAAGGGAATTCAGCACCACGGACAGAAGCTCCACAGCGGCCTCTGTCGTCTCTTCTTCCTGGGACTAGCTGGGGCAAGGCATGCTACCTGTGTATGTGGCGGGGGCTCATGGTCTAACTCTGACAGGGGCTAGGTGCACTCCTGTGGCCTTGGCCCCCAGGTGCCACAGCCCTCGTCTGAGCTTCAGGGGTGAGTCTCGGGGCGGGCGCTGGCCCAGCTGTGGGAGACAGCGCTAGCTGCCCGGGAGGGGACATCTCATAAATATCCCCTCCATCTCTTTTATTCGTTGTGAGCAACCCCACACCGCGCAAGCAGCAAAGTGTGAAGCGTGAGCCTGTGTGAACAGATTAATCCCCCAAATATGGTTGAGCACCTACTGTGTCCAAGGGCTGTGCTGGTGGCCAAGGCGCACGCAGGGATGAGCGAGATACAGCCGCCAGCCTTGGGAACCCACGGCTTTCAAACACGGTTCGTCCACTGTTAGAAGGGAGAGCTGCCTTCATGATAATGAGACTCGAGCTGGCGAGTGTGGGCACTGGAGAGGCAGCCAGGGGCGTGGAGAGAACAGACATTTGGCGGCGGAAGCTTCAGGGTTTGAGACCGGGCCCTGACTAGCGACATGGCCTTGGCTCTCAGAGCCTCCGTTTCCTCCTCTAACAAATGGGGGTGACGGCATCTATCCGGGCCCCCCTCCCGGGCATTTGTACGAAAAGGGCCCACTCAGCCCAGTGCCCAGGACTCAGCCCGAGCACCATTCATTCACTCATGGACTCCACACCTGTGCCAGGCACGGTGCCAGGCATCTTGCGCTGGGCAGGAGGGCAGCAGTGGCTCCTCCTCTTCCTGCGGGCCCCCAGCCAGACTACATGTCCAGCCTCCCCTGCAGTACGGGCGGTCATGGACGAAGGTCTGGCTGCTGGATGCGCCCCACGGGCAGACCTGGCTCATAAAACCCTCCCTCTCGACATGACCTCTCTCTGTCCTCATCGTTGGTTGGATGGAGGGGACCGAGGTTAGAGGTGGGTGGAGCTTGGAAATGGGAGTAGCCCAGGATCCAGAATCTCCTCCGATCTTTTCTCTTGGTGGCCGTCTGTGCACCAAACAGCTGCAACGAACTGTTAGAGACCCAGAACCAAACTGGTGTTGAGTTGAGCCCATGGGTTCGGGGATGTTTGTTACAGGGCTGAGCCTACCCTGACTCATACAGGGAGACACAGCCCCTGAGGAGACAGACGAGCCGGAGCTGCAGTGAGTGACCAAGTGACGGGGAACATACACGGGAAGGCGCCCGCGGAGATCTTGGGCGGAGGACACATGGTGGGTTTGTTTGTAAATTGTCCTGAACTTAACTCGTAACTCTTCAGCCCCTAGCGGTCCTGCTCCAAAAGCCTCTGGCTTTGACCATGTAACTTCCTCTCAAGCCTCCTGAAACCCCCTCTCGCGTGGCATGCAACCCCCCACACGACTCCCCACCGTCTAGATTTATTCCAAGGACCTGCCTACCAGGTTTGCCTCCCATATGGTCTCCCGCTGGGTTGGAAACCATGCTGTGTAGCTCCAGCGTCCTTACTCCCCGCAACCCATATCCTCCCCTTCTGGGTGAAACAGCCCTCCAGACAGACCTACGTTCCCGGCTCTCCCCCACGGGCCACCGCCCTCCCCCCCAGTTCACTCAGTATTCAGTGAAAGCACCTTTGCGCCTTCACCGACTTCATAGAGGCAGGACACAGACCACGAGAGTGAAATCACCCAATTTACCAGTTGGTTGGCAAGAGGCATTTATGAGGTCCGAAGCGGTTTTATTTGTATCTGATTATTTTCAAATTAAATTGAAATAAATTCGAATACATAAGTAATGTGCTTACTGTTCCATTTAGCCGTTGTTGCATAACACACGATCCCCAAAGGTTTGGTGGCTTAAAGCGGCAACACCACTCATTTTGCTCACAAATGTGTGATTCGGACAGGGCTCCCCAGGCAGGTGGGGCGGCCGCGGCGGGGCCGGGAGCATGCGCAGGCTCTCTCGTCTGTCCGACGCCCTGTTGGCCTGGTCCCCTCTCTCTGCGAGGTTGCGGGGAGGCTGGACTTCCGAGCTCGGTAGTCGCTGGCTGGCCTCTCAGGACCCGGCCTAGGAGTCAGGCCGCGTCACGTCATTGGAAACCATTCACCAACGCCCGCCTGTATGCACACAGAGGGGATTTGGGTTCCCTGAACCCCCATAAACATTACACTACAAATTTAAAAAACTGTGTTTAAAATATATTACATAAAATTCCCATTTTAGCCATTTTTCCCATGTATCATTCAGTGGCATTAATTATCTTCATGATGTGCAAACACCACCAAAACTTTTTCACGATGTCTAAGCACCATGTTTTCGAGGCCCATCCATGTTTTACCAGGCGTCTGAACTCCATTCCTCCCATGGCTGCATGCTAGTCCATTGCAGGCGTACGTCATATTTTGTTTTTGCCTTTGGCCGCTTCTGTCTGTTGGCTGTTGTGAACAACGCTGCTATGAACTCAGGTGCACAAATATCTGTTCGCATCCCTGCTTTCAATTCTGCGGCGAATGTACCCAGGAGAATTGCTGGATCATATGGTAATTTCATGTTTAAATGTGTGCATTCTTTTTTTTGTTTTTTTTTGAGGAGCTGGGAGACTGTTTTCCACAGCAGCTCCAC